GTAAATAGGTAGGTAGGTAGGTAAGTAAATAGGTAGGTAGGTAGGTAGGTAGGTAGGTAGGTGAGTATGTAAGTAGGAAAAAACATAGGCATACATATCCATAAACATTTGAGACAACTTAGAAAACGAACCACAGTATACAACAGAAAAATAAATAATAAAAACAATCAAAATTGGTTGAAAGGAACAAATAAATGGATGCCACCAGTCACCAGGATGTGAAAGAGGCTGCCATCGGGGGCCAGACTCAGTCCTGAGTCCCCTGTCATTGTATGGGATATACTTGTCACTGTCAATATAATGTTCATTCAGAGAAACAAAAGCCTTACCAATTCTTATAAAAAGGACTTTGGGTAACATAATAAAGTTCTCCACTGTGCTTTTGCAAAATACCCAGGTTTGTTCTTCGCAAGTACATTTCTGTGTTGGCTGCCCTCTATAAAAGCTGAAGACATGATATTCAATCTTAATTCGTTGGATGCTGTTCTGTGGGAAGCTAAGATAACGAGGTCCAGGGACACAGCTTTCAGATGACCTAACTCGGAGCTAAGGTGTACATGGTCTCATGCCCTGTTTTCTTTCTCTTCACGTCTAATTCCCAGATACAGGAAGAGTTCTCGATATGTAGGCATCTGACACCCCATAAACATCCCAGTTGAGAAGCTGCAGATGTTACCGGAGTCAGATACCCAGGAATTAGGAAGCCAAGCAGAAGAGAAGAGGTGAAAATAAAGGGAGAAAATAACAAGGGCTATAAATGGAAGATTCTAGATAAGATTACTTTTATGGTCCGTGTGAATTAATAAGAGACCTATTCCAAGTGCCAATCACATCAGCTTCTTGAAGGCTTTGATTCTTGCATCCATTTGGAAGTTTCTGCACTAATGGCATCATTTAACTTCCTTATATTTGGTTGGCTGGTTGATCTTCTAAAGTCATTTTGCCCCAAAGTTATTCTCGCGAGCCTGTTCTGTGCCTGCTCACTCTGACACTTCTCCATTCATGGAAATAAATTTCCTCTCCAATTCCAGCTGCAAGCCAGACCAACAGGTGTAGTCTCTGAAAGAATAAGTCAGGAAAGAAGATGTGAATTGAGTAGTGCTTAAATAAATGCATATCCAGTCCCACAAATATTTACTGAGCTCTTTGTATGGCAGGAACTGAGCTGGGTGTCGAGCTTTCAAAGATAAGATGAATAAAGCATGTCCAACGCCCTCAGGGAGCTCACAATTAACAGAGAAAAGTGTGTTGTTGGTACCCAGTCCTTCACGGGAAATCAAGCCCTTGAGCAAACACTTTATCACACACTACACTTTGAGTACTGTGACAAAGGAATAAATGCAGCACGGGTACTGGAGAAGCCCCTTCTGATTCAGAGGATGGGAACTTTTCAGAAGGACAGTGATTGCTTATTCAATCTCCATTCGACTACCCCAGGTCCTTGCCAACAGAACCCTGATTTTTGTTCAGGGACCCATCTATAAGAGAAGGAACCCATGGGAATAAATCTAGTCTAAACCAGTCATGGTAATCCATTCCTCTTGCTAGGGTGGACACGTGCTGAAATTAGGGCCCAGAAAATATGACAGGAAGGAGGCTGGGCAGACTTCCAGGAAAGGTTTCTTTGTTCTCAAAAAGAAATGTCCATTTTCCTCTGGATCCTGCTGTCTGGATCTGATGAATGGAACCGTCAGCCACCTGGGATTGTGAGGCATACTTGCCACAGGGCACTCAGCAGTCGGTTCCCTGGTATTTTTATGTGTGGATGTGTAAATGCTCATGTGTGGGTAGAGGCACTTATCTACAAAGCTGTGAGCCTCTTCAGAACATGGAGGAGGCCTTCCACGTTCCACATCATTTTTCCCTCCCACAGGATATAGCATAGCCCAATACGTAGATGGCACCACCTAAATGTCTTTGAATAAATCAGTACATAGCAAATCTACTCATAGCATTTATTATAATCATTATTAAGGCATAACGTACAATTTTACTAAAATTTTTACAAACGTATGTTTCCAGTATATGTAATGTTTTCCGTTTTTATAATTTTTCAAAATACAACCCAAGACTAATCTAGATATGTACCATCCAATATGGTAGCCTCTGGACACATGTGGCTATTTAAACTTAAATTAATTAAAATGCATTAAAAATTCAGTTCCTCAGTCATATGAGCCATATGAGGCTAGTAACTACCATATTAGACAATGCAGATAAGAACACTTCTACCATCATAGAAAGTTCTATTGGACAGCACTGTTCTAGAGCATGCACTGCCCACCTCCAAATGTAGCCCAGTGTTTGGCACACGGTAGGCATCTAGTAAATAGTTGTTTAATTAATTAATGCATTCTGCTGATCATTCCAGATATTATTACAATAGCCAAGATACAAACTGGCAAGTCCTGTCCCATCAATGAAAGCAACAGAACTAAATATTTAGCATATGACAAAACCAATGCCCACTGATCTGTAGGGATACTGAGTTATCTAGAAAGCCCTACTGGTTCCCTAACTGGCAGATTGCCCTAACAACACATGTCCCGCAACCACAAAGTCAAGCCCAAGCTGAGCTGATGAGCCTGGGCGGATCATCCATTACTCCACGGCCTAGGATGGACAGGTCTGTGGTTTATAATATACCCTTCTATTTGTTTCCGTGGACTGACTGTCCCAAAGGCCGCTGAGCCAATGTACTTTTCAGGGCTTATGCCCAATTTCCCTTCTCTTAAACTTCATCAAGAAATTTCACTATGAATTAGAGATTTGAGATTATTCCCCAAGTCCCAGTGGATGAAAAGGCCTCTTCTGGTCTTGGGGCAGCAGATAACATGCAGAAATGAAAACTAGACAGGTCTGGGTCGAAAGCCAGCTCAGCCCCTTAGCTGTGTGACCAAGGGCACGTTGTTCAACTTCCCCTAGACTCTTGTTTTTTCATCTATACAACAGGGACGTCAACAGTTCTCCCTGGCAAATCCTTTCAGAACATGATGTGTCCGTGTGTGGAGTGTGCTCGATTCCTTCCCAGCCCTCACTGTGCCCTGGACAAACGGCCCGGTCAGCCAGAGGTGCTCCCCCAATGGGGTTGTCTTTCCCTTTCCTTTCCTGGCACAGTCTGCCTGAAGTCCCTCTGTATACAGCCCCTGGCCTGAGGGGCTGTTGTTTTTGTTAATGTTAAGTAATAAGCTTGTAGCTACCAATCAGAAGTGCTTGGAAGGCACTGAAAGACACAGGTAGGGTCTGGGGGGGCCCTGGATCCAGGCTCCAGTAAACAGGCAAGTTCTGACCTTGTCCCTTGAGATTGTCCCCATCTGGAAGGCAACAGCCCTTTCTCATCCTCTGGACACCCCCCTCTGCTGGCTGCTTTGTCTTCCATCTCCTGAAGGCTGCATCTACCCCCACCACTGACCTGTCGCCCCTCTGTCCTTTTCCACGAGCCTCTCCCTGACAGAATTCCTGGAAATTCTCACTAAAATGGTAACATGGGCTCATAAGGGTATGTGCATCAAATAGGGATGCATTTAATAGGGCCGATGATATGGAACCTGAGTCCCTACTTAATTCTCACGCTTCTCACCTTCAAGAGAGCTTCAGATTTAAAATGAGAGTCTGCGCTTATAAAAATGACCAATAATGCGTTTTTTTACCTCCTAAAAATACATTTCAGTTCATGTGTCCCCCTCTGGGGTAATACAGGCAAGTGAGTGATTGTATCCACTCTTGCCAAAGCCACAGAGCCACAGAATTGGCAGTCCACCCAACACGGTATTCTGCCATTTGTCACGAGATTTAGTGAGGTCACCCAGACGCAACATAGCATCCCTCATTTAGCCTTCTTCTACGTATTTATCATAATACAGCCTAAAAAATGCTGTTCTACTCAGTACATTTGAACATTTTACTATCCTTGAAATTACCTTCTGGCTACCAGTTTGAGCATTAGCTCAGTTTAAGCTTTTCATGATTTTATCACCTGGATAATATCCCCCTTTTCCACTTTTGTCCACACTGAAGAAGTCTTAATGGCTTTATTTGCTTCTCTTTGGGACTTTGCCCATCAAAAAGTCTAAAATACATCGTAAATATTTTAAGTCATCTTTAGTATTTTAAAGATGAGTCGGCCTTCCAACAGTTGTTTGTTTTTTTAGTTATTGTTTTAGGGACTTGTTCCACCATTGACCACGATCTTGACCACGATCTCTCCCAACATTAGCGCGGCAGACATTTCCATAGTGCATTTGCATAATGTGGGGCAAGCTTTTGAGAAACAGAAATATTTCATTTTTCATATAAAGTTCTCAGTTTTTCCTTTACATGTGTAACCTATCTACCAATGCTTCACTTAATCGAGCCCTAGTGTTCCCCAGGCTTAAAGAGATCTTGCTTTGAGTAATCTCCCAGAACACAACCAGCTCCAAGAGCTTCTGGGATGTTTCAGAGGTGAAGACAGCCAGGCATTAAATCAGCCTCAGGCAAACTTTTACCACAGTAGGGCTGAATGATTTTGGCTGCTAAGTTTTGGAGCGCAGTATCCGTTCTCTGTATCTCTTCCCTGAGATCAGAAACCAAAACTCGTACCATGCTTTGTCCTCTGCTACTGTCGTCTCTGTAGGACGTCCTTGTTTCTTTGTCCTACAGACATTCTTGTCCCACCGGCGTGAGAAGTCACAGCGCTGTTCTGCATCCCTGCTTGCATCTTCCCACCTCGGTAACAGTGACCAAAGTTTTCCTGCCAATCGGGAAAGAGTTTGACCTTGACCACTCCTGCATTCATCAACAAGCAGTTATGGAGGACATCCTAGGTCCTAAACTCTGCGCTGGACCCTGGTATGTGTATGTATTTAGTGAAAGCAAGCTCTAGAATAAGACATAAACAAATAAAGGATCACAGCGGCCCATGGCGCAATGTCCACAGGAGGGGCCAGGGGACACGGGGACACAGAGGAGAGAGCAAGCACTCCATCCTGACGCCGTGCTGAGGGCCAGAGAGATGGTGACCTTTAAGAAGGACATGAAAGATCAATAGCAACTCCCCAGACCGGAAAAGAAGGGGTGTGGGGCATTCCAGACAGAAGCTGTCATTCACCAGCTTAGAGAAGAGATAGAGCTGCAGAAACACAGCCCAGTCCCATTTGGGACACAACACGTTACGTGTGAGATGTTTGCAGGGGCCTAGAACTGGAAGCATCTGGCAGAGGGTTTGGAATTGGAGTCTAGAGCTCCGCAAAGACAGCAAAGCAAGAGTCTTAGATGCACGACCCCTTGGTTGAAACCACGGCACGGTGAGTCTCAACGGGCAATAGGCATGATCGAAGAAAAATAGACCAGGGACAGCAGGGCACACAGAAGAAAGGGAGGCAGCTCCAGGCAGTGAGTATAGAGGCGGGAGCATTTCTCTCTTTTCTGAAAAACCTCTGTAGGCAAATGTAGAGAGGTGTTCAACAGCCTCACCGACAGAGCCGAGAAGGAGACCCCTGGCTCCCGAGTGCTGTGCCCCCTACGGGCGGTGGCTTGGGTGCTCTCCCCTTGGAAGGGGGGTACCCACCCACTCCCGGCTTCTGTCTCCTTGATTTCACCCTCTGTTCTCCAGAACTCTGACTCTTGCAACTGCTGTTTCTTTTGCATTATAAGTTCTTTATAAGGGGACTGAAAATTATTTGTGGAATAAGAGTTTACAAACAAAGAAAAAATAAAAATCCAAAATATCACTCAACACAGCATCTACATTATTCTACATCTTACAGAAGAAACCATCTATCTTTTAATGATTTTGTTTGTCGAAGTCATGGCTTTGGGGGCATCCTCTGCAACATAAGCTGCACAATCCCAGCACAAAGCTCTTCTCTCTGGTTCTGTGGTCGTCCTAGCCCAGGTTCCTGAAATGCTGTTGACAGATTGTCGGGGAGGTGGGTGACATGGCCTGGAATTTTGCCCGAGGGGTGGAAGAGCGGTGCGTGGTCACCTTTCCCTCCACAAACAGCTAGTGTCACCATGACCTGTCACCACAGAGAAAGAGTGAGGCCTGGGGCCCCGGGGACGCAGTAGAGGATCAGAGG